TATATGTATATGTATATATATATATATATGTATATGTATATGTATATATATATTTTAATTTTTTAATTTAAGCAATTATACTGTTACTAAATGGGGCCTGTCAGCTGTCAAGGGGGCAGCAGTTAATGGATGGGGTGGGAAAGTAACAAATGCAGTATTGGGGATGTCACAAGCAGCCACAGAACAAGTGAGATCTTGCTGGGTACAGAGCATAACTTTAGGTGCATAACTCTCCCTGCAAGATAACTCTCTCCTTCCATCTTTAGCACCTCTTTTCTCCTTCTGTATATGGCATGATTATGGGGCAGGGAAAGGCATCCCCAGAAGAGCCTCTAGAGCAGTATTTGCATTTCATCGTCTGTGCAAGACTTTAGGGAAGAGCCAATGAAGGGTTTTTTTTTTCCCTCCTTTGCCATTAAATCCTTAGAAACAATGGCCGGTTTGGTTGTTTTCCAGCAGGCAGGAGTGAAGCCCTTTGATCTGAGCTTTAAATCTCATTCACCTTGCACTTGAAGATACAGAACACCATCTCTTGCTACTACTTCTGTGTTTCAGAAATATATCTGATTATTGCTGGATGCGCTCCCCGTCTTTGAAAACCCGTAAGGCAGCTTTCTTTGCAAGGATCAAGATATCTCCCTGAATGGAAGCAGGCAGTGCATGATGTACATCCTGTGACTATGCAGATGACTTAGGATTCTGGTGTCCTGCCAAAGTGACTAGGTTTGGATCGCTAGCATTCACTGAGTCCATGTTTTAGGCTGTCTCCTCCCTCAGACATTTGTGGATTGTTGAGGAACAGAATGACTTATGCAAAGGTTCCATTCAAAAGCCTTTTGAGCAAGACAGAGTTCATAGAACGGTTCACTCAAAGCACAGACCTTATTTGAGTTCTAGAGCAGGGAAGGTGTGGAGAAGAGGCTGTCTTTGCCCAGAGTTCAGGATGAAACTGTGAGAGCCAGGACACTTTTCTCGGTGTCCTTTAATCTTAAATCCCTCCTCCTCCTTCCACCAATGTATGGAGAGCTATGGAAACTTTGTTTCTCAAACTCAAGGGTAAAATTTTAGGATAATTGAGTAGAAGAGGGAATTTCATTCTGTGGGTTTGTATAAGAAACCCCTTGGATTATAGAGTGCTTGAGTTTCTGGCAAAGCCTATGATATTCCTGGTTAAGGGAGGTCAGTCTAGGCTAGTGCTTCTACGTATCCTTTTGACTCACTCTGAAGCAGCTGCAGAGAAGCTCAGGAAGTGAAGCTGTGGAAAATATTTGAAGATGCAATTATAAGCTAATACTGTTTCTTGTAAAGATAGTTGATGCTGCTGGGTGGCTATATCTCTTTCTGTCCCATGTAAGCTATGGACAGGTGTACAGTTGCGGGGCCCATCCTGCCATGAGCTGCTTCCTTCAAGAGTGGGAGGGTGCTTTCTAATTTCATTTTTTCTTCTCATTTTCACAGAACTGCACAGGGAAGCATTTTACTTTTTTAATTTAATCAATTGTATAGTGTCATTTATTCCTTTTTTAAAGGTACATTTTTGGCTCATACTTTGACCTCCTCTGGAAAACAAATCTTGTAACAGTACTTTTTTTGGCTCAAAATAACAATAAATTAACAATTTTATGTTGGTGGTGGTTGCACTGTTACCTTTTTTCTTCTGGTGGTTTGTCCATACTTCCTTTTCCTTGCTGTATACGAAGATTTGATTCTTCTGAGGGTTTTTTCCTATTGTGGAAGAGGAAAACTTCCTTGCCTTGAAAAAGAGACCACAATAATAAATAAAGGAGTTTGTTCTTGAGATGTTAGAAATGTCATTCTAGAAAGGTTAGGAAGGAAACAAGCTAAACCTCTCCCAGTATTCTTCTAGTAAAGATGTGAGGCTCTTTGTGGGATAGATTTAGTGAGATTTCTGCAACAGCATATTCTTCAGGTCGATCAGACTACGATTCCCATTATTCTCAGCTAACATTCTCACTGACCATGGAAATAGTAGGCCAATAAAGGGAATAAATCTGGTGTTAAGAAACAGATGTTTAGCAAAGACAGCAAGAGAATATTGGAGCCAATTAATAAATGGCTTAGGGTTGCTTGACAATGAGCCATTGCTATTGTCTACGGTGTTTTTGTCATTTTGCCAAAAATTTGTGTTCCTCTAGACAACACAATAGTATAGCTCCATTTCTAGAATGTAACATAACTTTTCTCTTATACCAAACTGACTGGAACACTCTAATAAAACTCAATATTTTGACTTTAATTTAAAGATTTATTTTCAATTTCTGATCTATGATAATTTCAGCATTATTTTAGAATCTGGTTCAGGATCAAGCCAAGAAGCTATATTGTATAACTGGATGTCTCTGGAATAAAAACAGGAATGGCCTGAGCAAGTGCTAAAACCATAAGCCCAACTAGTCTGGCCAAGTCATTATGGGAATTTTTGTGTAAAACAAGAATTTGGAGGGCTCCAGATTCTCCATATCCTAGGTCTGTTCTCCCCCCACCCCCAACATAATGCTTTCCAGTTGTTTTGGATTTCTGTAGATCCTCTTCAGCATGATTGGCATGTTTCCTCTTGGGCCATAAGTAAATTTTGATTTGAATTGAGCATGATTAGCTGCTTTGAATTTGGATTAATCCCCCAGTCTAGTATGCTAATAGCCACTGAAAATCCCAGCGCATGATCTTTTTACATTTTTAAGTTAAACCTCCAAGGAATCTCCAAATTGACTTGTGTTGTTTAAGGAAACTCTTAAAACTTGCCATGGAAACATTGCTTTCTGTGGTGGATAATAGGATATATTTGACTATAAATTCTGTCTTCAGATGGAAGTTGTCAGAATTCACTGCCTCCTCATATCACCTATGAATATTTTAGCTCACGTTCTCCATTGCAGTGCTACTTTTGCCCAACTGTGCATTGCAAAATAAAATTTTGGGGTGATCTATCCATTGAGTTGTAGGACTACGAAAAGAAACAATTTCCCTTTCTGTGATGATGCCTTGATTATGGAACCCTCTTCTACACTTGGTCTTGTTACGATCTTCATGTCTTCCATACAGGTCCATAGTTAAAACTACTCCGCTGCTGTATTCTTACCCTTATGCACTGTACAGACTGGGGCAAAATGACAGTACCTCAGATATTTCCTCAGATCTTATGAACTCCAGGAATATGAGTGCTTTTTTTAAAACCTTACATCAGCAACTATGCAAATAGTGAAACCGTTTCTGCCATCTCACCCTTCTTTTTATTCCAACAGTAACAAGTCTGAGCAATTGTCTTGGAAATAGCCGCCCTGTGTACTTGCATGCTTCGGGGGTAGGGAGCAGGGGGTAGTTGAATTGAATGAAGTTTGCCCTTCCTGATTTCAGCTTCTTTGAAATTCTCAATCCTTTCCTTTCTCGCCCTCCTCCAGTTCTGCAATATTCCAGGAAAGCTTGGTTGGTCTCTCTCTTTCCCCCACCCCCCCATCCTCCATTCCCCACCCCCAGTGTTCTGACCAACCAGGAGCTGTGACAACAAGCCTAGCATTGTTCTTGCTTGGCCCTTGCTCAGAGGAAACCAGCAGGGAGAGCATAGTATGAATAGCAACTCCCATCCATTCCCCTGTTATACTGCTAGATATTCAGGTCACACTGGTGCTTTGGCTGCACACCCTTCAACCATCCTGGTAGGGCTTGGATCAAAAGTCATGAATCAAGACAGCAGCCTCCTCTGACTCTGTGTCATAACTGTTCGGTCTGGCTTCAATCCCTTGAGATTCTAGCACATTATCAGCTTGGTAACAGTTATATGTTAGCTTACATGTAAGTAGTCTCTTGAGTTTTTTTTCTTAAAACTGGAGGGGTTGTCATTCCCACCATCCCTACCAGTTTTGTGGTTGCTAGAGTCCAGCATCATCTCTATCACTGAACTACACAGAGATGCAAATAAAAATGATTGACTCATTTTTTTCCCCCTGATATACTTTTATGTGAAGGCTACGTGGAGGTCAGAAAGGATGTGTCTATGGTTGTATTGATGTTATGGCCAAAATTTGGAGAAGTGCAAATTTATCAGACTATTGCTGTTTCACTGTCTGTTGTGATTTATGTACAGCTGCTCGTGCTGCTTCATCAACTCTAGCCCCATAGACTTTGTTGAAGTGGGTGGAGTCTAAGTAATGTACATAAATAAATTAAATAAACAGCACATTTATGTGAGCAATTTCTTCCTCCCCTCCCATTCCTTGTCTTTTGAGTATAAAGCCAAAGAAGATAGTGTAATAAATTAATACATTGTGGGACAAGGTTCTAGCAGCTTTTTGAGGATGCAGGAGACTCACAAGAAGAATATTGGGGAAATCAAGCAGAGACTGTACAGTTAGCCAAATTGAGAGACCTGCAAGGGACAGAGGGTTTTTCTTGTGTGTGTCCATGTGTGTCATCTTGGCGTTGTATTTTCACAATTTTT